AGGAGATTTTGTGAGAGCATTGTTAGAGTACGGTGCCTGCTGAGACAGGCTCCAAACTCCAACCAGGTGTCCCCGGGTCTGCCTTCCATTTGGTGGGCTGCATCGGTTCCCCAGACTGTTTCCTCTGGTCCTCTGGATCCTGTGAGGAAGAAAACATTTGAGAAAGGATGAGGATAACACACCTAGACTCTTAGTAACAGTTAGCCAGCTTGAATCAGCTTAAAGGAAGAAAAGATTATTTTGGTCACAGTTGTCAAGGATTTACCCAATGGCTAAAAGGTTCTCATTTCTTTGGGTCTGTGACAGCATGGTACACCAATGATAGGAGCCTGTGACAAATGAGACTGTTCACCTCATGGTTGGGTGTAAAAGAGAGGATATGCCTGACATCACACAATCCTCTTTAAGAACATACCCCCATGATCTTAAAACCTCTCACCTCTTAATTGTGTCCAATTGGTGAAAACACCACCCATCCACACACCCAAATAAAAATGAAACTCAACAATTTTGACCTCTATGTATTAAAAGGGTGTTTACCTCCACCTCTGGTGGCAAGGGGTGTTTGCTGTGTTAATGGCAGAAGACATCATAGGCAGTCGCTCCCTGGAGCTCTTGGCTGAGAGCAGGAGGGACGAACATGAGACAGGACCTCAAGAAGCACTGTCACCTTGGGCCAAACTTGAGAATGTCGTGATGTTTGCACTTGGTCAGATTGAATGCTTTTAAGGTGTGCTTCACTGGGCTTTAGCACTCGTGCCTGGGTACAAAGGGTAGACAGGGTGACTACTTCCTAGGGCCTGGGTGGATTGCAAGACAGCAGAGGTGAGAGATGGTGACTCAGAGGACACTTGGCCTCTGTAGTTATCTTCATAGCTCCCAAAGGTACCAGACATTTTCCCTGGAGGGATTGTGGGTGGAAAGCCAGGCCCAGCCAGTCTGCTAGTTCCTCCCAGTCTCTGCAAACCCAGAGCTTCCTACATGCCCCTCCTCCCCTCATGAAAGTCACTTCGTTTGGGGGTCAGCAGCAGAGGTACCAATTGTGCGTGTGTTAAAACCCAGTGTTGGAACCTCATTGTTGGGGACTGCACAGCTTCCATGCTGAGAGCTGTTGACTTTCATACCTCTAAAGATGCAGGGGCCTCCACTCCCTGGGAAGGCCTTTTGAGGGCAGGGAGTGGGGATTCTGCTACTCACATCTCTAGCAGGTGGGCAGGGCCTGGCACATGGCAGGTATTTATGAGAGGACTGTCTTTGAGTCCAGGTCCAGGAGAGCCCAGAGGTGATTCCATCTATTTTAGGGCCCCAGCAGCCATGGTAGTATGTGTGGGTGATCTATGGCCACCTGCCAGCCCTTCAGCCTGCATTGTCAAAGTGAATACTGGAGGTGCCTCCTTGACCCCTTCCTCCTGAGCAGGGCCTGTTCAGTTCTGAGCCTGTTTGCCAGGAGCAGGACTAGACTCTGCTTCCCAGGCTGAACTCTTGGGGTTTCTGTCATGGATACAGAGGCCCAGATCTAGTCACTGAGGTTCCCAAGACCTCGGTTCTCTGCCTGGTAAATCTAGATGCTGGCTCTTCATTGTAGGGCTGGGAAAAGGCCTGGCCCAGACCCAGCAGCTGTTGGGTTTTCCAGCTCTGTGCACTGAGTAACATCTGTCATTAAAATCAAGTCAAGACCTTGATTCTCATAAATGTGAACCCAAAGGTTTCAGTACTCTATCTCTAGAAGACCTGAACAAGGTCTATTTCAGGTCAGGCCTGGCCTTCATTTCCAGGCCCCGGTTGAGATAACCAGTTGACTACACGTCTACATACATGTATGTGTCTGTGTGTCTCTGTGTTATATGCACCCTCATTTTCAATGAACACAGTCTGACTATGGCTCCCTGGATGGCTGGGAGATGTATCTCTCTCCCGGGTGTCTTGCTCTGGTGTCCAGTTCCTGTTCCTGCTCACCCCTGGCCCCCTGAAGCTCCCATCCAGTCCCATTGCTGCACAGCGAGAAGACACAGAGTGAGCCCAGCCCCATGGCTGTCATTCATGGCAGCGGGTGGATGGGAAACTTATCTACTTGCCCCTTAGCTGTGAGGCCCTTAGCCAGAAGCTTTTAACATTCCCCTAGGCCTCTCTAGAAGAGCATGCATCGGGAGTACCCAGAAATCAGCACTTGGGTGCACCCAAGGCGGACACAAGCAAAGAGTTTCTTTCAGCCAGCAGGGTTTGAGGAGACAGACGTCAATTTTAGCACTTCTTTCCTTCCTCCTCCTTTTCTTCTTTTGAAAGTACTTTGGTCCTAAATGACCACAGTGGTTATTATATGAGGCAGAACATGGAAGAATGGAGTCGAGTCGTGTGAGGGTGATAAGTGTCCCCCAAGATCCTGCCTTTATCTGAACATGGCAGGCAGGGTGTGGCTGCGTCTCTTATTTAACTGCCCATATCTATTCTGTATAGCAGCAGCAAGGCCACGGCAGCGGCCTCTTCCACTTGTGGGAGTCTACAAGGATGGAGGACAGGTGAGTGTGGGTTCACACGCCTTGTGTGAGGCTTGCAGCAAGTGCCTGTGGCTACCTTGCCCATAATTGACCTGGAAGGAGACAGCTTTCAGGCATCTAGTCTGTGTAGTGGTGACCAGCAGGGTGAGGGCAGCTCATGGCTGTTTAGGCTCTGTGTGCCAAGCATGTGACTGTCTGTTCTGATCTAGAGAACACACCACTGAAGTGGCAGGAAACGGTCATTCACCTTACTCTTTAGATTTTAGCAGTGTCTGGCCATGTGGACTCCTATCTGTTCTTCTCTGTGTCCACTCTGTTCTTTTCAGCCCCAGGGAGCCAGTGCATCCTCCAGGGCCCACTGGGACTTGCTCTCAATGAGACAGGGAGGAAAATGCCCTTGGCAGTGACTTGCAACACAGCTGTGCCTCCAGCCTCCTGGAGCCTAGAGCTGTGCAAGGCAAAGATATGGCCACAGTGGGAGGGGCATTCAGGGCTCCAGGGCTTCATGTGCAGACAGCAAGCGTCCTATGTGAGACCAAACCAGGGTAAGGGGATTTTGGAAAGTGAGAGGGCTGTGGGTTGTGATGCAGTGTATGATGTGGACATCACCTGCTTCTTGGGACCCTGGGGTCAGTGTTGCATGTGGACTTGGGCTTGTTTGGCAGGATAAAGGCTGTGGTTCTGTTACCATGCCGGAGACATTCAGGAAGTGCCTGTGGCTGCCCTGTTCAGAGCTGACCTGGGAGGGGACAGGGCTGGGCTTTCAGGCAGCTGAGCCTGTGGCCGTGGTGACCAGCAGGGGAAGAACAGCTCATGACTATTTAGGCTGTGTGTACCAAGCCTATGACCGACTGGCTGCTCTGGTTCAGAGACACCCCACTAAAGTGGCAGGAGATCTGCTGGCGTCTGTTCCAGACTGGCCTGAGGGGCCAGACCTTGGGCTGTACATCAAGAGCACAGTGTTTTCAGAGCTGTGACTTAGTCCTCAGGGTGCCACCTTTCTTTGTAAGGAGCTGCCTGGCTTCTGTCCCTCCACTGTGTGCTGTAAACTCCCCTTAGGCCTTCCTTGTCTCTGGGGCCTGAGGACTGGATGGACCTGGTGATGTTTTGTTGGGCTGACCCTACTTCCTAGTGCACCATTAGTCAAATGTTTGCTTGGTCAGTTAGCATTTATCCAGCACCTAGTTTACACCAGTCCTGTGCTACACCTAGAACAAAGAAACATAAAAAAACACAGCTCCTTCCATCCTCTGGGAACTCTGGGAATAGCTGTTGTTGTTGGGTTGCAAGATGAATGAAAACAAGTGAAAGTGAGTGACAGATAGATTGGACAGATTCCCCAGAAAGAAGACACCTGAGTGTCAGGAGGAGGTAAAGAGGAAAAGATACTCCTGGAAGACCCCGTTATCCCCAAGAATCATGAGCAGCTTCAGAGCATGATGGGAATAGAGGGTGGAACAGACACCGAATGTTACCTCAGGGTGTGATTTCATTATATGGGTAGCCTCTCCAAGGGGACGGGAGAGGGAGGGAGGGAAAGAGAATGGGAAGGAGAGAGAGAGAGAGAGAGAGAGAGAGAGAGAGAGAGAGAGAGAGAGAGAGTTCATGTGTACACACTGTCCAACTGGTTGCCAGAGTCACTGTCCCAGAACTGCAACCTGGCCCCTACCTGCCACGGTCCTGCTGAAAACCCAGCACCCTTTGACAGGGGCACGGAGCTGGCATCTTAAATTCCTGCTCTTTCAGTCAAAACTTAGTCAAACTGAGATTCTGTTACAAAAGTGGCAGGCATTCCTTTGTGTCCAAATATAAAACTATAATTATGAATTTCTTTTTTAAAACCAAATGTATGCTCGTTCTGTGTTGAATTCAAACTCATTGACCAAGGAGCTATGATACTTCTGTAGCTAAAATCATTAATAAATAAAATCACTGCTCAGTGGTCACCAGCATATACCAGACATGCTAAACATAGAGCCTGGCTCTTGGAAGCATTTCAAGTCCCTGAGGTAGCATGATGAGCCTCAGGGCTGGCCATGAAGACTGCAGGGTACTGAGATGTAAAGCTCCAGTCCCACTGGCTGGGCTGCAGAGGGAGCTGTCTCCGTGAGCATAGGCATGGACATCTCCAAATCCATTCTTCCTGACTCTTCACTGAGAGGCCAAGCCCCATATGGCTCCTTCTCCAGCATCAGGACAAGGAAAGAACAGAGCTAAGCCACAGCTGTAGAGGAGGCTGGCCCTAGGTGAGGAAGCCAAACACCTGGAGACTGGGCAACAGGACATCTAGGTGAAAACAAGAGCTCTCAGTTACACACACACACACACACACACACACACACACACACACACAGAGAGAGAGAGAGAGAGAGAGAGAGAGAGAGAGAGAGAGAGAGGGAGGGAGGGAGGGAGCCCACTGATCTTTGAGGATCTTTGGCCCAGAGTTGTTGCGGGAGTGACTTCCCATGTCGGTTGTCAGGGGCTTTCCCCTTTAGATGATTCACCCGTCTGTTCCCGACTGGGTCCATTCCTTCTTTGCATTCTATGTGAAGTTATTTCCAGCCCTAGACCACCCACTTCCCCAGGGTGTGGTATCCTTCAGGCTGTTCTGTCTCTGGGGAGTGACCCTCAGATTCCTCACCCTAGCCCCTGTGAATCTAGTAAGCATTTTGGGAGGTCTTGGGCAGGAGTCCTCTCTCCTGGCAATATATTCTGTGTCTCCCACTCTCAGAGCAACTGTAATGGCCGCCTGCTCTTCCTTCTTCCTCCCCTCCCTCTGCCTCTTCCCGTCCTTTCTTACCTCTTCCCTTTCTCCTCTTCCTGCCTTCCTTGTCCCCTCCTCTGCCCCTTTCTCCTCTCTCTTCCCTTCCTCCTCCTGTCTTTCTCTTCCTCACCTCAGACCTTCCTTCCTCCCTTCCTTCTTCCCTGCCCTCCTCACCTCCTTCCTTTCTTCCCTCCTCCCTCAGCCTACACCCAGAAAATGGGGTTTTAAAGGAAATTGGAGTTGGCTTATAAAGGCATTGGGAGCCTTCTTAGCCTGTTGATAGCCTTGCTTAACATTTATAATGCTCACTTCCAGATCATTTTTAAGTGGGTCCTAGCATCTGTGGGTAAGGCAGATGAAAAGCCTCAGTGAGGTGGCCAAAGTTCTGATGTCTGACCTTTTGTTGGCAGTTCCCACCTGGCTGTGTGACGTGTGGTTGTGCCCACCTTCCTAGTCGCGAAGACCTGCTACTGAAGACAAACACTGGACAAGCCTGGTCCAGCCCACTGGTAAGTGGTTGGTGGCTTTTGGAGGCCATGGTGGAAGTTAACTGAGGGTGATGGTCCAGACACTCAAGTCTTTGCTCTGAACTCCCTATCTATCTAGGCGCTACATAGAATATTGTCATCACTCCATACCTGGTCCTATCCCTAGGAGTGTAGGAGCCACCAGCATCCAGACACTGACTCAGTGTCCCCTCCTCCTTTATCAGCTGCTCCTGCTGGTGGGACATCCTCCCTCATGCCCCCGTGAAAATCTAAGTATCTGCAGTCTCCCTCTGCCCAGCTTATAGAGGGAGCATTAAGGCAAAAGAATGGATCGTTTGTCTTTTAATGGAACTCAACCTCTGGGGGGAAGGGAGAGCTGGGGAGAGAGAGTGAGAATGTGAACATGAGAATGAGAACGTGTGCATGCATGTTTATGGTGTGGAGCAGAAACCCTTAACTTCTAATTGTGCTCCACGTCTGGTCTTTCTGGGTGGCCAGACTCTCCCCGGAAGCTTTCTGAGGCCCATAGCGGCTCACCTTTTTTAAAGCACAAACTCCAGCTCATGATGAGTGATAAAAAAAAAAAAAAAAAAAAAAAAAAAAAAAAAAAAAAAAACCTCCTCTTTTGGACCTTGAACAAATTCCAAAGGAGTTTTGAATCTTGGTGCAGGAACTGGGGCAGCATCCCAGAAGCTTGCCCAGTGATCTCTGGGCTGATGCATCATTTTCCTTTCTATGTCCCTTGTGTTAATAGAGCTCAAGACTTAATTGGCTTCTTTGGCTAAAACACATCATTATAGTTGTTTAGTGTGCATCTGCTTATAGATGAACCACTACCTCGCCTCGTGAAGTTCCTAATGGAAGAAAAGTACACCCCCTCAGAGGCACCTAGTAAGACTAGACAAAGACTTTATCACAGTTGCCATGCAGCAGGCCCTGTCTTAAATATTCACATACCAAACTTTGATGTTCCTTAACTGATGCTTAGTAGTTAGGTGACCTGGCCAAAGGCCAAAGGCCATACAGCTTCTAAATGGCATTGCTGAGATTTGAACCCAGATGGTTTTGTTGCAGTGTTGCCACCTTTACCCACTAAGCCATCTTCAGGTAACTGATCACTGCCAGCACTGTGGAAGGGAGTTGCAGAAGGGGCGCTTCACTTCACAGAATCCCTGGGGACAGAGTTAGAGCCATGCTCATGGGAGCACATCTGGAACCATGGCTGAACTCTGAGCAGGGAAGACAGCCAGAGAGCTGCCAGTCATGGCAGGGCAGCTGCTCTGCAGTGGAGATGAGAGGACCAGTGTCTTTCTGATAGACAAAATGGACTCAAGTAGAGCTCAGGACTGGCTGTGCTGGACCACAGCACCCCAAGCCCAGGGAAGCAGAAAGCTGTGTGCTTCTGGAACAGGTGGCTTAGATTCCTAGGAGGATGTGTGTTGGGGTACAGGTAGCTCATATGTCCATGATCATACCAGGGTATTCATGGGGCAGAGGTTCTTGCTTCTACTTCACAAACACCCAAAGCCTCAGGGCATTTAAAGTGCTATGGAGATTGGCTTTCTACAGCGGTACCAGGTAGAGCAGTGGCAGCTGAGTGGGCAGGACCCATGGGAGAACTTCTGGCTACAACCCAGAGAATCTGCTACCCCACACATCTTCATAGCTTGGATGGGATGTGTCCTCTGAGCCTGCATTCCATTCCTTCTTACCCCAAAATCCAGGGATGAGCTGAATGGAGGCAGAATGGAGGCCCAGTGTTCAGCACTGGCTTCAAGGGCTGGGGAGGCAGGAGATCCCCTTGTCCCAGAACATCCAGATCCTCCAACCTCCTGTCTCTTCTACATGGATCTATCTGTCTCCAACTTCCACAGCCATGTACCGTGTGAGCTGGAATGGAGCCCAAGGGTCATTCTGTTCTCTCCTCAATGAGAAATGGATAAGGTGGAGCAGAGAGGGAAAGAGACCCCTGAGCCCATGCAGGTGTCAAGGGACAGAGCTGTTCAAAGTGCAGGCCTCTGGCTTCAGTCCAGACCTGCTCACCAGAAATGGCCCCCAGCCCCAGGCCCCTCTCTTCTTTTAGAGCACACACGAGGCTCAGAACAGCTACAGACAGGTCCAACACAAGATCATAAGCTTATTTAAAACACTTTGAGATTTCATTTTACTTTTTTGGTGTAACTCAGTTGTGAGATTCTCAAGCTTGAAGTTTATACATGACTGTGGCTTAGAGAAGCTCAAGGTCAGATAGCCCTGACTTAGATGAAAAAGACAAATCTGTTTGGATGTCCTCATGTACTCTGTGTTTGACTTGTGTCCTGCCAAGTCTGTTTTATAACTTTAAGAGAGTTTTCTCTCCTCTCTCCCTTCCTCCTTCTCTCCATTCCTTTTTTTTTGGGGGGGGGGTCGAGACAGGGTTTCTCCAATCTTTTCTAACCCCAGTCCCTCATCTCATCTCTTGTTGCCAAATATCTGCCCAGTAGGATCAGTCAGATGACACCCATTGCAGGGCTTTTTAAAAGACAGAGTCTCATGTATCCCAGGCTGGACTTGAACTCTGCATAGCCAATGGTGACTTTGATGCCCGAGCCTCCTGTTTCCACCTCCTGAATACTGGGATTGTAGGTATGTGTCTCCATACTCCATTTATGTGATGGCTGGGGTAGAATTCAACTCCTGGAGCATGCTAGACAATCATTCTCCCAGTTGAGCTATACCCTGGTTCCTGGCAGTAGTGTTCTTTAGTGAATTTCTCAACCATAGCTTTCAAAGAGGCCTACAGAATAAAAGGTATTTATATAATTTGTCCAAGACGCTGAGCATAGACTGCAACCAGTGCCTGGATGTGCTAGGCGAGTGCTTTTTGCTATGAACTACACTCCAGCCCACACAAAGAGGTTGGCCTTTTACTGACATGCCATGGGTATTGGTGCAGCTTCTGCCCTACTCTGTAGGGATTCAACACAGAGAGACTCAGAAAGGTTTACAGACTATGTTTCCACCCAGGAAGTCTCCTCTAACACTGCTATGCGATCAGTCAAGCTGGAGCCTTATTTGCACAGCACCCGACGGTGCATTAGCAGCCTCTATGGGTCATCATCCCAGGAGGCAACCTGCCTTCTCACCTGGAAGTAGCTACAGGGCATGGTGAATCACACCACCCTTTGTCCCAGCAAGCAGTTGGCCCATAGGAGCACAGCCTGTGCTCACCTGTCCTTCTACAGGGTTCCAAGAGTGGACTGAAGCCCTAGCAGGACCATGAGCGAGGACACGGTCCCTGAGGCGGCCTCACCGCCACCCTCTCAAGGGCAGCACTACTTTGACCGGTTTTCTGAGGATGACCCTGAATACCTGCGCCTTCGCAACCGTGCGGCTGACCTGCGGCAGGACTTCAACCTGATGGAGCAGAAGAAGAGGGTCACCATGATCCTGCAGAGCCCTGTGAGTGGGCAGGGCAGGGAGGGCTGGTTTCCCAGGGACCCGAAAGACCAGTGGCCCCTCTTCCCTCATTCAGGGTCTTGGCAGTTTAGGCTTGCTGAACCAGAAGACTGGCTTGGCTGTGTGGGTGTTTGATTGCCTCCCTAACCACCAGTCCAGGGCAGGCCTGGGGGTATGCATAAATTCTTGTTCAGAAAGTGGCAGAGAGAAGACCCCTGCCCCAGTACACTATGCCACATCTGAGCTTCAGTTTCCAGTTCTCCTTTCCTGAAACAGTCAACAGATAGGATGACAGAAACTGAAGGATGGGTCGCCATGGGGCTGGGCTAGGGTGCCCTCTGCTCACTGTAGGGCAAGCAGAGTCTGAATGTCCAGCCAGGGCTGAGGAAGGGAGTTAAGAGGAGCAATGGGACAGGAGCCAGCCTGACCTAGATGCCCCTGAGTCTATAGACCTGGGGGTATTGGTGCCGGCCTCACAGGGCCTCAGAGCTCATTCCCCAGGTAGGTAGTACCCGGAAAGGATCCATGGCTGGAGAGTAAGAGTGCTGCTGGCCTTTGGATAGGAAAGAAGGGCAGAGGAGGGATGTGGGGAGGAATAGGGGGATGGTGCTTGGGGCTCAGCAGGACATAGGCTGGGAAGCCCAGGGAGGAAGCTGACTTCCCCAGGGCCTTTTGAAACAGGGCATCCCATAGTCTGTGGGCAGTTTCCACCAGGAGCACACAGACTGCTTGGAGAGTGGGAAGGATTGAGGCTAGGGTATTTGTGTCAGGAGCTTGGAGGAAGACATCAGGTTCTTACAGGTCTTGGAGTGAGGCAACCCCCAGGCATGCAGAGAGTCACCAGGAGGGTGGCAGAGTGGAGCAGCATTGGCCATGGTTAGTGGGTGAAGCGGGGTATGGGGACACAGGAGCCTTGCTTCTTTACCTCTTTCACGGGATCCTCAGTCTCATAGAGCTCCCTATTCCTTCCATGCTTCCTCCCACCACCTGGCCAGCAACATAAAAAGTTCACAGTGTAGTGGGATGAAAACCTGAGCTTAGGTGTACCACAGTGGAAGCTGCTGAAGAAGCCCTCCAGTCCTTCTCCATCTCCTTCTATCCAATCATTAAGAATACAGAGAAACTGAGATGTGTGGGCAGAGCCTGGGGTGTGCTAATGGGGAAGGGAGGGTGGCATACTTTCTCAATCAGTTAATTCTATCTAAAGTGAAGTCCTACCATGCCTGGGACGGCCTTGACCATCACACATAAGAAGGGAGCTGGAATATGGTCTAACCCCACAGAAAGTGGGTGCCCAGGTCCACCCCCAGAGTCTCCTTAAATACCTATACAACAATCTGAGGAGGGACCAGAGGCCCTAGTGAACCTGCCTCTGGGGAACCTTCAGGGTCCTTAGCCTTTCTGAAGAGGTGGACAACCAGTCCCCTGGAGAGTTTCGGGAGCTGTCCTCCTGTGAGGTGCTACAGGAGAGGAGTGCAGCGGCCAGGGAGCAGCTCCTCTGGACTTGCTTTGTTCTCAGCTCCTGGGGATCTCCAGGGTCCTCGGTTCTATGAGGAGCCTGGCACCAATCCCTAGGAACCTGTGGGGCTTCAGTGTCCTGTGGGGACCTGTGGGCCCTCAGCTCTCTATGAGGACTGGGCACCAACCCCTCGGCCTGCTGCAGTCTTTCAGGGAGGAGCTGGAAGGTCTCATCCAGGAGCAGATGAAGAAAGGAAACAATTCCTCCAACATCTGGGCGCTACGGCAGATCGCGGACTTCATGGCCAGCACCTCCCACGCAGTCTTCCCAGCTTCTTCCATGAGTATGTGGGTGTCTGGGTGTCTGCCAGGAGCGGAGGAGGAGGCATGAGGTGGGGAAGGGAGGAGGAAGCACCGGGAGCAGCTTGGTTGCTAGGCAATGGGCAAGCTGCAGTTGCATTAGCAGGCCTGGGTGGAGAGATGCCTGGCTCTGCTTCTGATGTTGTGAATTAAAGACCCACAGGAGAATTGTCAGTGATGGCAGGAATGGAAAGGGTGGAGGTGACTTCAGGGCATAAGAAGAGAAGAGGGGAGCCAGGAGACCAGGCAGGATGGTGGCTATTGAGCTGTGAGAGGAGCTATGGCTATGCGTGGGCTCCCTTCCTGGAATGTGCAGCTCTTGCCCACAGCCTTGAAGCAGCCCTCACTCCATATGACTCAGACATATAGGGTGATGGCTGGGGCTAAGGAAAAATTAGAGAAAGAGAAGCCAAAGCCCACTCCTGTGTTCCGAGAACTCCAAAATCACCGTTAGCAATATTTTTGATGTATCTTTCCAACTTTTTTCTCTTAATATAGATAGCTTATTGAAAGCAAGAATACAATCACATTACACATATAATTTTAATGGCATATCAACTGAAATTTTGCATCATAAATATGGTTCTGCCATATGATTTTTGTGGGTGCATGCCATTGAATCAATACTCCATTAGATTTTTAGAATGTGTTCAGCTTTTTGCTGTTATGAACTACAATGTTGTAATTGTCCTGGTAAATAAATTTGATGCTATATGCATAGATGTATTTTAAAGATAAATCATAGTGAGAAAATGATGAAATAGCTGAGCTGTCTTCTGAAGATAAATTTCGAGAATTTCTAGAGGAATGCAAATATGTGCCTGAAGACATCATGCATAATGCAGATTGTGGTCCTAGAGAAAAAGATTGTGCCAACCTTGCTCTCAACAGTGTGGTGGGCATCACCCTTCCTGTACCTCGTCTTAGACTGTTAGTTACCATCTCATTTCCCTCGAGGCAGGCTGTACCTAAAACTTCATGTTTTTTTTATGGTAAAATGTTTATTCACATATTTTGCCAATTTTCCTATTGGTATGTTTTGTATAAGTTTTCAAAATTTTATAAATTTAATGCTACTTCCCTATGACATGTCGAATATATTATAGCTATATTTTTCAGTTTCTCCTTTGCCTTTTAACTTTGTTCACAGCATTTTTCATATTGTAGAATGTTTTCTTACAGAACAGAGAGAGCCCTCTGTTGGTCTCCTTTGTGTCTTCTGCCCTTGGCCATGTGCCTAGACAATAAGACAAAGGACTGTATTTAGACACCTATTTATTTTAACCTCTTGTACAAATTTATTCTATAAAGTAATTTTGGAATTGTCATTCTGTCAGGCCCTATTTTTCTACACCTTAAAATAATTCTTTGGGGATTTTGAATTGGATTGTATTGGGATTGATTTTGTAGATGAGGGGAAATTCTTCACTTTTATTTTAGAATACAGTCTCCATGGGGGAAATGTGTATGGTTGGTTCTTAGAATACTATACCTAGAATGTGGGAGGTAATTTAAAAATATTTCCAAGAATTGGTTAGAATCTGCTGGTCCTATAATATCTACTAGCAAGGCTTTCTGGTTATTTCTATGCAATCTGACTGTGTCTTAAGCCCATCCAGGAAATAATATATAACTTCATTGTCATAAATGAAACTTTATTCATTTTTTTCTTGAATGTACATATACATATTCTCTTGAGTTTGCAAACATGCTATTCGTGTGTGTGTGTGTGTGTGTGTGTGTGTGTGTGTGTGTGTACAAACATGTGTATGCGTGTGAGTATGTATGTGCCATAGCATGAGTATGGAGTCAGAAACTCACCCACAGGAGTTGGTTTTCTCCTCCTACCATGTGAGGTCCTTGGTGGAAAGCTCTGTTACCCACTGAGCCATCTAACTGGCCTTGCATTTAATATCTAGAAAATCAAATAATCTGAAAACATTGTCATTTTGCCTCCATCTACCAGCATCTTGCCCTTGTTTTTTTTTTTCTGGTTTTATCCCCTGAGGCTTCAGAATAATGTTTAATAATTTAGAGAATGGTTATCCTTGTCTTGCATCTGATGTTGATGGGATTCTTTAACCACAAAGTTTGAGATCGTTATTCTTTATCATGTTGAGAAAATGTCTTTGACTTCTAGCTCATCATGTCTCTTTCTCAGAAATGGATTTTGAGTTTTATAAAATGCATTTGGGTCATTGATTCCTTTTTTACCCCTTGAGCAATTATCACAATGAGTTATAGTGACAGACTCTGAATACTGGGCTCTTTTGAAATATATGAAATAAATCATCTCTGGTCCTGTGTGTGTGTGTGTGTGTGTGTGTGTACATGAATGCAAGCAAGTTTACATGTAAGCACATACACATGAAGACTAGAGTTCAACCTTAGGGTTTGATCCTCAGGTATAGCTCACCACATCTTTTGAGTCAGGGTCTCTCACTGGCCTGGAACTTCCTAAGTCAGCTAGGCTGGTAGCCCTAGTGCTCCCCCTGTTTCCACCTCCCCAGTGCTGGGATTACAAATGTGTCCCAACATACTTGGCTTAAAAAAAAAAAAACATGGGTTCTAGTGACAAGCAGATGTCCTCATGTTTGTGTGCAACTGCTTTACCAACAAAACCATCTCCTTGGCCCTAATTCCTTCTTCTGGCACATTGTTTTAAAAATACTCTTCTATAGGGACCAGCCAACCTGTTGAACATGCCTGAAAAAGGGAGTGAGGATTGAGAAAAGAAAGTGACAAAAGACAAAAGATAGAGTCTGGAAGGCTCTAAGTGAATACTGCAGACACCTCAAATTTATTTCTCATACCCTTTTATATCCCAAGCAAAAGAGGAGGGCAAAAGACCTCTTTTCCGTGGTCCAAGGGACAAACAAGTGTAATTACCTCCTTAATTCTCAAAACATCTAGTAACCACACTCTAAGTTAAAATCCTGCTAATTGGCCTTGAAGAGCAAGACATCAAGTAGCCACACCTTTGGCCAAACATCCTGCTATTTGACCTTGGGGAGCAAGAATAAGTTTGAACTCTCTGACCTTAAGACAATATGGAAATAGAGTTACTGTGGGCTCCCACACTCTTCTGAGTTTGTTGTTAGAGTCCTGTTAAGGATTTGTATACACATTTTCTCATGTGAGCTTGAGCAGTCCACTTTCAGGGCATTCAGCCATAACTTTTATAACACAAACCAGGAAGACTCCACCTCTCTCCTTCTCCACTGGAGTTTAAACAAGGCAGGAGCATCGCCCTTGAAGACTTGCAGCTCACTTGCAAAGTCATCCAGAACTCAAACATTTTCAGAGATTCTTGACATTTACCTCCATCAGTTTCATCTGGAGCTTTAAAAGTTATTTTGCTCCTGTGTCACTCAATTTTGGTCATATATTTTATATGAAATTATCTATTTCAATGGATTATCTTTAAAACCAAGTGACTTACAATATACTTTTCATTGTTGAGTTTTGAGATGGTACCTGGCTGGCTTCTGCCTCAGTGTGTTCTCGGTTTGCCTTTTTTGAGCAGCTCACATTTGTTTACTCACAGGTCTTATACACAAACACTTGAAATTATTTATTGGTCTTAAAATTTTTTCCTGATTTCTAATTTCTTTTTCAGCAACAGGGATCAAACCTAGAGCTTTGTACACTCTAGACAAGCACTGCACCACCAAGCTATGTCCCAGCTTCCTGTGGGAGAAAAGGAAGAGCAGAATCTAGTCACATAGTTCTGGCTGGTCAAGAACTTTTAGTCCTTTACCTTCACCTCACAAGTGCTGGAATTACAGATGACATTATCACACCTGGCACATTACCACACCTGGCACACTTTGGTTTTGTTCTTACTATTTTTCATAACATTTCTGTCCTAGTTTATTTTCTTTTGCTGTGATAAACGCCATAAGCAAAATCATTGGAGAGGAGAGGCTTTATTTGACTTACAAGTTACTTCATCATTGTTGGAAGTCAAGGCAGGAACTTCAAGCAGAGTAAGAACCTCAAGGCACAAACTGAAGCAGAGACCAAGAAGGGATGCTGCTTGCTCCCCATGACTTGCTCAGTCTGCTTTCTGAAACAACCCAGGACCACAAGCCTAGGGATGGCACCACCCACAATGGGCTGGGCCCTACCACATTAATTATTAGGCAAGAAAATGTGCGTGCAGCCTTGCCTGCCCTCCAGTCTGATGGACACAATTCCCCAGATAAGATTCCCTCTTCCTAGATATGTCTAGTTTTGTATCTAATCAGAACCTTTTCTATGGATGCTTTTGTCCTTTTTTGATAAAATAAAATGAATTTGGTACATTTTCATATTTAGCTCAGTGCTGAAGACACTTGAGGCTGTGAACTTCTGAGCATGGTTTGGTCTCATGCAATGGACAGTTTGCACCTGCTGCTTTGGTCCTGCTCATGTTTCATAGTGCTGATGCTGCACCATGGCTGCACACATGTCAAGCACATACTGAGCAGCAGCTCCAGTTTGTGCCTGATTTCTATTCCATGAACTGTCTTTTCTCATTGCTAAGCAATTGAGTGCTTGCTCTTCTATAGATCTGTTAATGTCAGTCTTCATTGAATTAGAAAACATGTCCTACTTAGGTTCCATGTCAAGGATTTAGTGAGAGCTCTTTGCAACCTAATATAATTATTTTTAAATGATCTATGGTTAAGGGCAATCTCCAGGACATTCTATTTAATCTACATTTCCATTTTCATTAGATTTTGTCAAAAGTGAAGGTTGGTCCATCCATTTCATTACTGTTCATTTCTCCTTGTACTTAGGATATGCTTTACTTCATGTTTTGTTTGTTCTGAGATGGTGTCTCATCAGGTAGCCCAAGCTAGCCTTGATTCTCCCACCTCAACATCCTGAGTTCTGGAATTACAGAAGTGTGCCACCACACTCAACAAAATAACACTCAGAGTATAAACATCCAATGTCGCTATAATTTCACTGTATAACCTTACTCCATATAAAACAACCTGAAAATAGCTCTCTTTATCCAACAAAAGATTATTTTTTTCAAGCTTCCAGTTTGATAATAATAATATGACTTTTGAAATTTTTATTTAACCAGTGCATTTTAAAAAAGAAAATGTGATGTGTATTTATGTGTGTGTGTGGTCACTGTGTGTGTGTGTGTGTGATCACTGTGTGTGTGTGTGTGTGTATGATCACTGTGTGT